TTCTTCTTCTTCTTCTTCTTCTTCTTCTTCTTCTTCTTCTTCTTCTTCTTCTTAGTAGTAAGCTATTGTTACCATGATGATGATGATGATGACGTAGTGACAACTCACCATTACTTCTTTATAGAACTTTCCTCTCCTATCAAGGTCAACAGCATTTTGCGGTAGTCACCGGAAGTATCATCCTGGGGAGAAAGGGAAAAATGTGTCGTCATATTGTCCAATCATATGATAGTTTTACCCCATTATATCAACATATTGTCCAATCATATGATAGTTTTACCCTATTATATCAACATATTGTCCAATCACATGATAGTTTTACCCCATTATATCAACATATTGTCCAATCACATGATAGTTTTACCCCATTATATCAACATTATTGTCCAATCACATGATAGTTTTACCCCATTATATCAACATATTACCCCATTATATGGCCATAATGTTCCAATTGTGTGCTCATATTGTTCCCATTGTATGATAATAATGTTCCCATCGTGCGCTCATATTGTTCCCATTATAAGACCATTTCGTCCCATTTTATGGTCACATTACCCACACCTTCTGGCTTTATTATTTGGTCGCTTTTAAGGACAGGAAGGCTAACCGAGATTTCGGAGATTTCCAAAAATCTTGACCTACACCAAAAGTGGGCATTGCCCTACCTATTAGAGAAGTTAAGTTTCATTGGTGTGTACATTTGTTTAGTTATAGAGAAAACTCTCCTTGTCTTTTAAAGAAACTGAATATGGGACCAAAAACTTTACCTTTGATTTTCTCAAAACAGCATTCTTCGGGATAGCCTCCTTGTGCTTAAAAGTGACCTTTCATCCTATGGTTAGCCAGCTGTTCAGATGAACTATGCCTGAAACTTCGATTTTCTTTTTTAACTGCAGTTTACCAATCGGTGAAATCGGTTGCATATGCTCAAGGAATGTTTTGTCGAAATTCAAATTCTAAATGTTGAAAAAGCAAGAGCAAAAAAAAAAAGAACAACATAATGAAGGTCCAATTGTTAAAAGAATGAAACTTGATTTTTTTTCCCGTGCTGTAAAATGTTGCTTTCTGGGCTTAAGACTATGGTCATAATATTATGCCATTGCATGGTTACAATATTGTCCCATTATCGTCATCATCCAGTGCCAAATCTGCGACAGACATTGGCGATCATGGTTCTTCATTCATTCCTTTGCTCGGATGCTTTCAAAAAAGCTACATTTCCCTGATCTTTCCCCGTTACCCATTTGTTTATGTCCCATTATATGGTCATAATACAACCTCAGTATAATAATGGGTTTTTTTTAATTCCTTCATATTATCATACTGTCTCAATATAATATTGTTTTGATAATAGTGTCCCAATGTATGTTATAACATTGTCCCATCATATGGTCATTATAATTTAGTCCCATTATCCCACTATACAGTCAAAATGTTTTTGTTAAATTGTACGATGACTATACTGTGTCATTATTATAGGGCCATAATATTGAGTCATTATGGTCATAATAATGTCCCACTATATGGTCATAATATTATCCCATTAAATATGTCATAATGATATGGTCCCATCATAATAATATGGTCACAAGATTGTCCAATAGTATGGTCATATGATGCCTATTGTGTGTGTGTGTGTGTGTGTGTGTGTGTGTGTGTGTGTGTGA